ACCGAAAGTTTTACTAAAAAAGTAAACATGGAAAAATAGGGTGGAAAATGGTTCTTTAGAAATGTTTACAGCTACCGATGGTTTTATAATTGAAAATCCAAAGATTTAATTGTAAGAGTTAAAATTGATCATCTGAAGTACCTTGAGACACAGTTTCAGAAATACTTCCCTTCAAATTTTGATTCTAAAAAACTAAGTTGGGTTCATAAACCATACTCAATTGAAATAAAAAAATATCAGTCATCTGCCATTAGAGAAGAAATTGAAGTTATCAAGTGAAACAGGTTTAAAACTTGAGTTTCCTAAAAAATTGTTAAATGAATTTTGGCTGAGGCAGAATTTCCAACAATTTCTAAAATGGCCCTAAACATACTTCTGTCATTTTGTACCACATATTTATGTGAAGCGACATTCTTAGCACTGACGATTATAAAATCAAAATATCAATCAACTCTGAAAAATGTTGACGACGCTCTACATCCTGCAGTATCAAATATTCCACCAAGATTTAATTCTCTATGTAAAAACAAACAAGCATATCCATTTCATCAGTACACAAATTTGCTTTCATCTTTAATAAATGGTAAAATTGTATGTATACCAAAGAATTGTTTTAAAATAAATTTCTTTATGATTTATTATCAGTAAATGTTTGATTTGTATACCTATTTTATATACCTATACACCTGGGATTGTGTAAAAATTTCTCAGGCGAAAAGGAGTCACGAGTGGAAAAAGTTTAAGAAGCCCTGCTCCATATCTCTTGACACTGCATGGATAAAAACGAAGCTGTCCAATTATTATTTATTTTACCACTTAAGCAGCCCATCTCCTTTTTCGGTCATACACCTCTCTATTGCCATCTTTTTGTGCTAATGATTTCCCACAATTCTTCATTGTAAGTAAGTTGTAGCCACCATGTGTCTCTCTGCATTGCTCTTTAATTCTTTAGAGAACCTGGTATTTCACAACTTAGTCAGAGAGCATCAACAGAAGAATACTGATGTTTAAAAATATGAGTCTTTCAGGAAGAAGGCTGGAATCATTAAAAGCATTGTGTAATGTCCCAAAGGCTCTTTCTCCTTTTCAATTCTGGGCCCAGTTCATTGAATATCTACAAAGGATGTCTAAAATATGTACTGATGGGCCAGCTGTGCAGATTGTCCAACCAAATACTTATCATACTGAGTAACAGACATTCTTTATCTATTATCCTCTGTGAACAGTTACACTGAATTATTTTGAGAGAGTGGATCTCATTTAGGAGGCTCTATAATGCTCTAGGGCTTTATGCATTATGTACAATGTCATTTAAAGCAAGAGTATCTGGAGGACCTCATCATCTATCCTCCATAATGGTTGCAAGTGACTTTAACAAGCAAACATCTCCCTGTTTTATATTTTGCTTGATATTATCAGAGAGTCTAACAAAGCTATCTCTACTGATATACCTTTCAATAAATTTTATACAATTTTGACATAGGCATGGGAGATAACTTATTGTAAGAAAACCTTTAAGATGGCTCTATCAAATTAAATTTTTTTTATAGTAAAAAAGCAATACATACAATGAGATTGTACAGTCTGCAACTTTTTCTCAACTGTGACTGTAAAGATGTAATCTGTTGTAAAATACGTTTTTTGAAAGGCTACTTATTCCTTTCTCTTACAATAATCAAGAATGCCCTCAGTGCTTGTGGAGAAAACTCAAAGATTTTATAGTGATGGAAAAATAGGCATGCGGATTAATAGTTTATATCTTCTCAGTTGCCTTTTTGTTGTAATAATAAAGTCTGAGATTTTCCCCTCAATTATTTGGCATTCTATCCTCTTTCAGATGGATGATCATCCCTCTCCATCTTCAAGATTATGCTTTAACCAGTATAGAACTAATCTTGGTAAACTCGGTCTAGTCTAGTTGCCCTCTCCATTTTTATGTTCCATAATGCTATTTCTGCTTCCTTATTCAGCAGATCAGAGATTGTGATAGTAGAGTCTAAGTGTGGTAGCTCCATTATCATCAATGAAGAAGAGTTTGTTAACAAAATCTCAATAGATTTTTTCCAATTTTTATTTGCTTATTGTCCTTCCAGTTTTACTTTCAGGATGATTGCTTTATTGGGTTTGTCACCAATCTTTCATAAACTTATTTTGCCTTCCATTGCTTTTTGCTATTTTATAAAAAGAATACTGCTGAGAACTTTACTCCATTTTCCTCCACGAGATTTTATACATGAAAATCTTTCTTCATTTGGCAAGGAAATCCAATGTTTGTTGGATGAATGTGGGTTTCTAGATTTTTTTTTTTGGCCTCACCATTATGGTGACTGATTTTTATTTGGTTACATTTTTTTGATAAATAACGATTATGATGATCTCTGTTCTTTTTCAAAGAGATTTCATTTTGGAGATATGGTTTTAATTCAGACCCACAAGATATAAAAAATGTATTTCTACTTTAAAATTGTTGCTTTATCATAATAGTTCTCTGGGTAGATGAGACATCCTCATTGTACTGCAGCATACATTTGGTGCAACAAATCCCAACGCTTCCAAATTAGATCAAGTGCAAAGAGAAAAGTTAGAGAATCCCTTCAAGTACAAGATGCTTGACTTTTCTTGTATCTCATGAAGCTGTTGCATGGCTCCATTGGAATATGGGAGCATTAACTTCTCACCCACTTTGTAAAGTGCTGCCTCACCAGATTAGTCTGTGAATGAAAACTTCTCAGGAATTTCCACAAATCAGAGATTCTCATTTTAAAAGTTTCATTCCCCTTGACAGGTTAGAAATTCATATCAATGTGAAGTAACCACTAGAAAATCACAGCCCATAGAGTCCATGCCATGAAGACTTTTAGGAGTCACTCAGGAAAAGTGTGGTCTCAATTCTTACTCTGTATCATGAATTTTTAAAAAACTGAAAAAATTAGAGAGGTTCAAGATGACTCCATAATCTACTCAATATTCTGTTACCATGGAGTACAAAACAGTAATGACTACTATACAGAAAATATACTTTTCTGTAAAGATATACATAATCTTTAAGTCACTCTACAATTTTAGTTATGTGATTTAAGCTATGATTCAAATATGTAACTTCAGAACTAAAAGAAACCTTAGAAATCAGGGAAATGTGTAAGAAAACCAGCTTTATTTCACTCAGCAATTTCTGACCCCTTCCCTTTTTGGTTTAGGGATCTTGCTCCAAAAATGAGATACAAAAAATAGACTGAGCTGCTTCCACTGGAAAATCAGGGGACCGGATTATATGGTCTTTAAGGCCACTTCCAGTTCTATTTTATAAAGTTACAAACTCATAGGGAAAAAATACTGCAGAAGTAAAAAGGCAACTTGATCTTAGAAAATGATCCACTCAGCAAGCAACAAATGTTATACACACACCCGTGAATATGTACACACATGCATACACATGAATGCTTTAGGTCTATATATATTATATTTAGTTAAAGGAATGGAAGAGGAGAGAGATGGGGTCAGACAGTGAGACATATAAAGAGCAACCAAGTCACAGAGAGTCATATCTCCATGGAGGAATATGTCTAGCATGTGGCCTTTTAGGGTAATGCTGTTAAATACTTTAAATGCTATACTGTTTTCACAACTAGATAGATACACATACATATAAATGGATACACACACACACACACACACACACACACACACACACACTTTTAAAAATGGGATATCACCTCCTGGCACTTGCCCTATAGTTCAAATAAAATAAAAGACTGGATATGTTCTCACATCAATGTATTCCTTTTTAGATTAAGGAGTATATTATGAATTAAACAATTTTTTTCTTACTCAGTAGGCTCTGGTTTATTCTTTTTTCTAAAATAGAAATAATGATGTTTTGGCTTAATTTAAAATGTGTCAAGGATGTCAATGATGATCTCTCGTAATTCTTCCTGTGATCATCAATTTACATATTAGTCCCGTGAATGGATCTGTGATCTGATTTGATGTGGGTATCCTACCCAATAATGCAGATCACAACCCATCTAAGCTTGTGCGTTCTATGTGACTTTTGTTCCCATCCTCCAATAAATTATCAAAAGGAATTCATCCAACATGTTGAGTTCATTCCCCTCATCAAAAGGATACCAATAGAACATACAAGATGTCCACTGGTTATCCCTTGCTTTTGCTATATATTTGATCATACATCCTTTGATAACACTTTTTACATCACTTCTTTCTCATAACTCCTTGGTTTTAATTAGACGCAGTTCATTCATACTCAACACGCACATCTGATATCCCTTGGGTGATCCTTAACTTCAATTTTTGCAACAATGTTAGAAGAATACTGATGCTCAAAAATAGCCTTTTATTTCAGAAGAAAGCCTGGGGGCATTGTTGCTGTTCAGTTGTGTCTGACTCCTCATGACTCCATTTGGGGTTTTCTTGGCAAAGATACTGAAGAGGTTTGCCTTTTCCTTCTCTATTTCCTTCTGGGGTCATTAAAACAACTTAAATTCCCCAAAGTCAGTCTAGCCTATTCTTTTCCACCTGTTCAATTCCGGGCCCACCTCTCTGCCCATTTACAATGGTACCTCTTTGGGATGCTGTATTTACTGACAAACAAACTCTACAGTTTCTCCATCCAGTTGCACATCACAGGTTGAACAATAGTCAATTTTCAACCGCTTAGTTTTTGTGTGTGCATAGCTAGGGCAAACTCTCTAGCATGATTATAAATCTCATTTAAGAAATCCTATGATGATCGACTAGGGCTTAACACAATGAGCACAATGCCACCAGCAAACAGAAGCATCTGAAAGACCTTACCATCTCCTTCTACTTGAACTATGCCCTGGATCACCTATAGTGAGCATACATCTACTTTATGTCTCATTTGATATTAGAATCAGACCATAAGCAAGGTTATATCTGTTACATCTTACAAGGAAAATATGCATACCTGATTTCAATTTTATTGAATATAAAAATATAATCATATAAATAATTCTTACTGTCAGGAGTTCTTTCCAGCCATTGATTGCATTCTGCTGTTAGACTCTTTAATCGCATCATTAATAATGGTAGCTACAAAAAGTTAAAAAAGCAAAATAAAATTTAAGCTGAAACTTAGAAAACAAAAGCCATTTCATGAGGATAAATAAAAAGTTATGCAATAAGATATCATTTATTTTAAATACTGGAAAGATACAAACTACCTAGCCTGGAAACAGCCAGTGAAATCACACAAAATAACCCATCACCTCAAAACAGAATTTTGAATTTAACCACTGTAATCAACAGACAATAGTCCACTCATGGAATTGAGGTCCAGTGCTGAAAAATGGTATATAAAAACAAAATCAAGAAAGCATAAGAAATGTTGGTAAAATAGGACATTCTAAAAAACTAAAATCCTGTTGCTATATTGGTGGATTAAGCTTCTTTATCTATATCATTGAAATAAAATGAAAAATGAAAACCAGGACAAACTTGATTCTTGCCAACATTTTTAAAAAGTCAATTTGCTAGCAAAGTTCTTGGAAACAAACAGGTATTTAAGTACAAGATGTACTGAAAATAGCAACACATTCCACAATAGTCTGCACCAACAGCTTGGCTTTTGTTTAACTGAAGAATTCCAAATCAGCTATGCTATCAAAGCACTGGCCAACTTCATGTGTTAAAAAGACACTTTGGGGGGTAAACAATGTGCTTAAAATAACTTTTTTTCCTTTCTGTAGCTATAACCTTTCAGTAATCACAGGATCTAGGATTTCGATTTGGAAGAGACTTTTGAGATCACTAAATTCAAATTACTCATTTTCAGATGAGAAAACTGAGGTCCTAAAGGAGTTATATGACTGAAAAATCCATATAAGTAGCGAATACCAGAACTTTGAATAAAGACCCTGACTCCAAATCTAAAGCTCTTTCTATGACACCATGCTGCCACTCTTCTAAAAAGGATGCCAACATACCTTGTGCTTTATAAAGTCTTATACTGGAACTGAGAAACAACAAACAGAAAAACAAAAACATCAATCACCCAAATAGATCTTTCATTGTACAAAAAAGGGAAAAGTTATCATTCTATTGAAAGATATACAGGAAGGAAAACATGAAGAAAAAAACAGGTAGCTCCTGAGACTCAGTACTTTTAACGGACAAGAAAACTGCTTTGATGTATTACTCCTACAAAGTACTATCACTCATCTCTGATTACCTGGCTACTTAAGCAATCACCCCAGTACTTAACAGAGTCAGTTCTCTATAACATGGACAATTGATTTGTATAAAGTTCTTGCAAGTATTCTTTGGATACTTCACATATTTCTTACTAAAATGAATAAAATCAGATGATTTTAGATTGGTTCTTTAAATTTCATAGAAATCATAGATTTAGAGGTAAGGCCTCAAAGGCCAGCTAGTCTAAATCCTTCATCTTAAAATTGAAGAAACTAAGGCCTAGAAAGGTTAAAAGACTTGTCCAAGTCACACAGTTATTAAGAGTTAGACGTGAAATTTGAACCCAGGTCCTCTGACTTTAGAGCTATTTCTTTTTTTGGCTAGGCAATGGGGTTAAGTGACTTGCCCAGGATCACACAGCTACTAAGTGTCAAGTGTCTGAGGCGTACTTGAACTCAGGTTCTCCTAACTCCAGAGCCAGTGCTTTATCCACTGCACCACGTACTTACCCCCTAGAGCTATTTCTTTACACTAAACCACACTGCATGATGGAAAACAGGAGAAAAGTACTAGGTAACTAAAAAACCCTTCTAATAACTAGATTCTAAGAAAATGTAATCAATTAGTAGTTCTTGAAGTCTTTAATCAATCAATCAGCAAACACTAAGTCTTTACTACTCCCAGGCACTGAGGAAACAAAGAAAAAGCAAAAACAAACCAAAACAAAAAAGCAAAACCACAAACACCCCCCCCCCAAAAAATAACCAGTCCCTGCCCTCAAGGAGCTTATATTCCAATGGAGGAGGGAACATATATAGATCAAGACATACAAGATAAATACAAAGTAGACTGAAAGTAGGCTTACAGGGAATAGCATTAACAGATAAAAGGGACCAAGAACCTCTAAGACCTCTTGGAGGAAGTAGCCCTTGAACCATCTTAAAACCAGGAATTTGAAGAGTTAGGGTAAGACTATAAAACATTCAGGCTTGGTGGTCAGCTAGTGCAAAGGCAAGGAGACAAGGGATGGGGTGTTGTGTGTAAGAAGTAGAAAGTAGGTCAGTATGGTCAGACCATAGAGTGCATATATGGGAGTAACATGTTTAAAAGACTAGAACAATAGGAAAAGCTTAGGCTATGAAGAGCTTTAAATGCCAAACACAGGAATTAACACTTGATTATGGGCATGACAGGGAATAATTTGAAATTTACTGAATTAAGGGAAGGAGAATGACATGGTCATATTTGCACTTTAGGAAAATCACTTTGGCAGAAATGTGGAAGTTTCAAGTGAGAAGAAACTTGAGATGAAGTCCAACTAGGGGCAAGAAGTAATGAGGACCAGAACTAAAGTGGTGGCTAGGGTGAGCAGAAAGAAGAGGATCTATGTAAGAGAAAGAAATCACAAGATTTGGCAATATTTGAGTATTTGGGATAAAAAGAGAGAGAAGCTGATGATGACATCCAGGATGCAGCATACTTGTAACTTAGTGTTTTGCACATCTCTGCATATGCTGAGTCTTATGCCTGAGGGGCGGGGGTGGGGGGGCATGGGGGGAGAATCTTTACTACCTCCACCTTGCCTCCATTCCTAAACACGATGCAGTAATCTGACATATCAATCAGAACTCTATTAAAGGAAGATAATCCTGTAGTGTCTACCTCATAAGTTTATAAAGTTCAAATGAAATAAAGTATGCAAACTATTTTACAAACCTTCACCTACTATTTGTCTGCTATTATTATTACCTCACTTAACTAGCACCTCTGCATTTGCAGGATACAATGCTAACAAATTCAAAAAAATTATCGACAAAGTACAGGATCCTGAAAAGTACCTTTAAAAACACAGGCACCACTGGAAGTATAAATACCTGATTCAAAAAACATCTTATGCAGATAAATTCTAGTTATATACTGCCTTTCTCCTCACCAGTTCACCCAAACCGGCAAACAGTTAACCTGGGCCAAGAGTATTATATAGACACAATAGTCTCTTCCCTCTCAGAGAGATCTTACAAATATCACTCTTCCTCGTTTCTCAGTCTTTTACTGGGTAATTAAAAATGTTGGTTTAACACAATGGCCTCCCTGCACCAAAAGTGCTTAACTTATATTTCTGTACACACACACACACACACACACACACACACACACACACACACCACACCCCCAAGCATATAATGTAAGGCTGGAAGAGACATTAAAAATCATCTTCTTGCACCTCTGTCCACCTCATTTTACAGATGAGGAATCTCATACTCAGAAACTTGCCCAAGGTCATATAACTACCACTCAGCATGCCAAAGACCTAAGTTATTATTAATTCTGCTACTTAATGAATAATTTCTCTATGACAAAGTAAACATGATCCAAATTTGATTTGTAAAGTACTTAATGTACTACTTTGAAACTGTAAGTAGACATTAAGTAAATTTTTTTCTTTTCAAAAATCAAATCTTCCTTCTCTATAAAGTAGGTAGTATGGGAAACCCTCTAAATCTATTTTCATAAGGACACATCCATATCTTAAAGATATTCTAGGTAAATATTCTCCTTTCTGATCCCTGAAATATGGTATTTTCAAAACTAAAGGCACCAATAACTGGGGCACCCATTCAACAAACAAGATGCATAATAGAGTTTACCAAATTAATTTGTTAAACATTGTCCACATATTTTATCTTATAGCATACAATTCTTAGACAAAGCTTTTTAAAAGCCCTTGATTACAAAACAAAATTAGCATGTGCAGAAATAGAAAACAATTTCTGCCAACAAGAGTGACAACTAAATGATCCTCTATGTTGATATGAATAAAACTTTTTTCTTTTATAGTATAAAAGTGAAAAACTTCACCATTGCCTTTAAAGCAATAATGAAATAGAAATATTTTTTCTTTTACGTTTAGCAGGGCAATTGCTTTCCTCTCAAAATTTCCTAATAACTTCATTAGGAAGATGGACACTATCCTAAGACACCTATTTGCTCAAAAACTTTCTGACTCTACTGTTCTGGTATATAGGGTTTAAGTCTATTTTTATTTCAGGCCTAGTCCACATCACAGTACATTTTGCCAGACCAAACTAATAAAAATATTGAGTATATGTTTTCCAAAATTTTTAAATGATCTCTTAAATTATTTTCATATCTCAAATTCAGGCAATGTTTTATTTTGAATATGCTTAAAGTTACATTTAAGGTAAAAAAGTCTACATTTTGGTAATGCCCTTAAAGAAGTGCTCTGCAGCCACCAGTTCCCATAACAGCAGTTAACTTCAACACCCACAATACTCTACTTTCAAAAGAAAAATTATCATTAGCAACATGTTCTCAGCTTTTTGATCATGCTGGAGTGTGAAATTTTTCATCTGGCAAATAATGTTGTCAAATAGGTGGTTGGAGGTACTCACTACATTGACAAAGAACATATTATGATCTTTGAGAGTTAACTGTGGTAAAAAAAAAATTCATCATCTTCTGGCCAAATTAAGCTAGACTAGGTCTTTGAATGAAACATATATAGTCAGTACATCACAGAAACTGTTATCAAAGGTTTTTCAGTTTGGTAGAATTTGTATTCGGCTGGTATTAGCCTTTGGTAATCCAACACTGCATTCAGCCAGCAACGAAAATGGTACATCTTTAGGCTACTTTGTTTTGGAAAAACATGCTAAAAATAATGCACACAATTTACTTTTCTAAAACAACTAATGAATTCTACCTACTTATCATTTAGGAAGAAAAAAGAGTAAGGCATACCTGAGCATCAGAAGGGTTAAGTCTTTCGCCTCCAGTAAGTGCTATCTCCTGCTGACACTTAGTTAAAAAGAAAAAGAAATAAATTATATGCTGTATGAAGCATACAAATACTTCCAAGTCAATTTAACACCATAAAAATAACATAATTAACTGCCAATATTAAGGATAGGGATAAAAATAAGAACTAGACCTATGATTTCATGACATAGAGATCTCTAGGATAAGCAAACTTCTATCAATGCAGGTTTGAACCTTTGCTGCAATTATATTCTTAGAGAGTAGCTATGGGCACTGAGAGGTTAAATGACAAGCCCAAGATCCCATAGCCAGCTTATGTCAGGGGCTTGACTTGAACCCAAGGACTTCTTGGCTTAGGCTGGCTCTCTAACAACTATACCATGTCCAAGAATTCAAAGCCCTTACTTGCTAAGACACAGTTCTAAGAATACCCCTAAATGAAATATGTCACAAGTAGACAAACATTCAGAGAGATCAGAAATGTTCACAGCTTACACTGACTACACAAGCTGAAATGAAGGAAAGGCAGGAAGTAGGAAGAGAATTAATTTGGAGAATATCAAAACAACCCAATAACTAGAGAAAGGAAATAAAATCAACAAGATAAGTAATTTTGGAACTATACAAATTAGATAAAGAAAAAGACTAAGGAAAATAGCACAAGAGGTTATATATGCTGTTCATATTGATTAATCTTTTAAACAAAGATTAAGTACTTAAAAATACTTTTTTAAAAAAGCAAAGATAAAGTCAATGACCAGCAACACAAAACTATATCATTATTACATGTAGGTTTCAACAATCCTAAAACCTGTCTCTCTAGCACATACACATCTCATTCCCCTACCTTTTCCTAATTTTCCATTTCTACCATTTCTTTCAAATTCACTAACACAAACATGTCTACAGCAAACAGACATTTGCTAAAATAAATTGATATAAAGGAAAAGACAAACTGTATCTAAATTATCTTCTGGATCTATCCTTTATCTTTTAGGTGCACTGTAACATTTGTACCTGGACAAGCACTTACAGGCAGGCACTCTATCCTCTTCCTATTTGGAGTACATATGGCTATACCTTGTCTCAGGACTTTGAGATGTTATAAATTCTAATTGTGTCATTCAGTATAGTAGGTATCCTTTCCAGCTTTATGCCAGTGATGAGTATGCCTTCTAAATCTTCATTCGAGCTATTAGTAAAAATGCTTACTATTCATAGGCCAAGAACCCTTATAAGTTGATGACTATTAATCAACACTCTCTGGGTATACAGTTATTCAACCATCCATGAATTATTGTTCTTTATGCTTTAAAAAGTGATTCTTCCTCCAAAGCAATTAACATAAAATTTTTATGATCTGCCCCTCTCAACATATGAAAATAACAACAGCTGGTATTTATATGGCACTTTAAGTTTTGCAAGATGCTTTTCATGTGTTTTCTCATTTGGTCCTCACAACAACTCTAGGAGATAGGTGCTGTTATCCCCATTTTACAGATGAGGAAACTGAAGCTGAGCTGAGCAAAGTTAAGTGACTTGCCCCAGAGTCATATAACTAGGAAAAGTCTGAGGCAGGAACTAAATTCAGGTATTCAAGACTCCCAAATACAGAGCTCCATTCACTGTGCCTAAGTTATATATGATATGAAATAAAATATACGTAAGAATTCTTTTACTTAAAACAAAAATACAGAAAGGACCTGCTACAGTGACAGTGTGTTCCTAGAAACCATATCATACAGCAGATTACTGCACACTCAGTGTATACTATTGTCTTCAGAGCCAGCAGAAAAGACTGATGCTTATTAAAGTGTCAAAGAAGCATAGTTGCAAAATGTGTGAAATGGTGAAAAGAAGTGATTGCTTGTGCTTTCTTGCAGTTGTGGGGCATTTTTTCAAAAGCCATTAAAAACACATAGCTCTATACAGTAACAAAACAAAACAAAATAAAACAAAGCATCATTGGAAATCTTGCAAATATTCCAGAAAGGACGCAAAGATTTATGCTGGAGAAATAATTTTGCTTCTTAAAGAAGATGCCAATTGTTCTACTAACTTTGAACTGACACTAGAAAAAATGGGTTGGTTTAAAAAACAAACACAAACAACTCTGTGAACAGCTGATTTCCAAGGCTACATCACACACAAAAATAGTTAGGTGTTTAGCACAAGGCTGTGTACTTCTCACTAAATCAGAAAATATGTACCTGACACACATTGTTTATAATAAAATGTTTAAAACAAAAGTTCCTATCATAAATTCTAAAGGAACCATTAGGAACTTGTATTTTATTCTTTCTACTTTTTGGCCCTCCCCTCCCCCACTCCCCTAGTTAAATCTTATGCCAATAAATTTTGGTATATTGACTCTATCTCTTGGCACTTACTTTTTCCATCTGTTTCCACAATTCTTCACATTCTTCAATAATTTTATCTTTCCTGTCCACAACATATTCTTTATCCTGAATATCACCTGGAGCTGGATTTTGCTGATTTAATTCCATGACATAGTGTTAGTCTCTTTACCTAGAAACAAGTAAAACCAAAGTCAGAAATGGCATGAAATAAATACCTAATATTTGTATACTGCTTTTTTTTCAAAGTGCTTCTACCTTAGTCATCATTTATCAATAATCAATCTTTTCAGATATTGGGTTCAGCCAACTCTTATACCCCTATACTTTTATATTTCCTCCCAAAGTCTCCCCTCTTCCAAAGTTTCCTATTTCCATCCAGGTTACCACCAGTTACCCAGGCTTGAAACTAGTGTTTTCCTCAGCTCCTCTCTCTCCTGCCCCACATGACTACTTTGTTGCCAAATCTTATCATTTCTACCTTCAGAGCATCTCTTTTATATATTTCGTTTTCTCACTGACGAGCCACAATTTCAGTTCAAGTCCTCACCACTTCATTCCCAGACAATTGCAACTGCTCTCCCAGCCTCTTCTTTCTCTGCTCCACTCAACTGCCAGTGTGATATTCTAAACCATAGGTCTGATGTGTCACCCCACCCTACTCAAGGAGCTCTAGACGCTCTCCTTTACCTCCAGAATCCTATATTAACTCCTTTAACATTTAAAAGTTTTTATAACCTGTCCCCTTCCTACCTTTCCAGTCTTCTTACACATAACCTTTCTTCACACTCTCTATAATTTAGCAACACTGACCTGCTCGCAGCTGCTTGAACTTGAATGCCATCTCCCATCTCAGTGTTTCACTCCAGCTATCCCTTCTGCTTGGGATGCTTTCCTCTCTCACCTCCTCCTGGCTTCCTTCAAGCCTGGGTCCAAATTATACCTGCTGCAGTAGGTCCTCCCCCTTGCCTTCTACTTAATCTGAATATATCTGAAAGTACCTAGATGTCTCCCCCATTAGTGTGTTGAGAGTAAAAGCTTTCACCCCCGGCACTTAGCAGACTGCCTGGTACGTAGAGTTTAATGAATGCTTATTTAATGGGTACAACAGAGAAGCAATGGGAAAGGTGAACCTTTATCTTCTGCTTCACTTTAACACTTTAGTCTGGGTGGCAGGTCATTCATGCACAATCTGGTGCTACTCTGGATCCCCTATCTCTAATCAAACACCACTAAAAGCACCCAGTCAACCCAAATAAACACATATACACTGATACTTCATGTACTTTAAATAGCAGGCAGATATACGTGAAAAGAATGACTTGGGTATTGGAAGGACATAAAAGTGAGCCAAAAAAAGAAGCAGCAAAAAGGTCGGTGAAGAAATCAGGGGTATTATTATTATTGTTAACATTTAGTTTAACTTCTCTTCAACTCCTATTAGATTTTAAGGGCCAAAGGAAGAGATTTCCAAGGTAAGTTTGAAAAGACTTTATGGGGGGCAGCTAGGTGGTACAGTTGATAGAGCACTGGCCCTGGATTCAGGAGGACCTGAGTTCAAATGTGACCTCAGACACATAACACTTACTAGCTGTGTGACCCTGGGCAACTCACTTAACCCCATTGCCTAACCCCCTCCCCCCCAAAAAAAGACTTTATGAATGACAGGTAATAAATAAGGCTCCAAGGTTTCAAGCATAAGTGACTGGAGAAACTGCTACTGCAGACCAGAAGTGCTCTTTAGAGGTTGACTTACCTTTCTCAACATATTAGTAAAAAACTGAAATGATCATGTGCTACCTGCCTCCAAAGCTATTTGGAATTATTAATCAATTGGAATTTATTAAGCATCTACTATATGCCAGGCTCTGTGCTAAACACTGGGGATACAAAAAGAAGAAAATACAGTCCCTGCTTTCAAGGAGCTTAAAATTTAAAAGGGAGAAAGGGAAACAATATGCAAACAAATATATACAAAGCAAGTTATATGCAAGATAAATAATTGGCTCTAGATGGGTGACAGGGATTGAAGCATTTTCAGTGATAATGTATAGTATATAGCACTTTAAAAACATTGTTTTTACTGCCACTGATTATGGTACAATGGAAAGACTGCTGGATTAGTCAGAGAACCTAGGTTCAAATCCCAGCTCTGCCACCAATGTGACCTCGGGACAAGTAACTTAACCTCTCTGGGCCTCAGTTAACTAACTACTCAGTTAACTACTCAGTTAACTAAATGAAGATGTTGTCTCAGATGACCTCTGAAGGCCTCTTTTAGTTCTAAATTTATAATCTACTTATCCAGTTCTAAGCTCTCTGCTGACCTCCAGTGTGCATCTTTAACTGCCTATTAGACATCCTGAACTGGCAACATGTCCAAAACTGAACTCTATTTCTCCCCCAAACACTCCTCCCTTCTAAACTTTCTATTGACTATAGAAGGCACCACCATCCTCTCAAATCAGCCAGGTTCAAAATCTAGGTCTCAATTCTTTACTTCTCTCTCTTTCTCACCCTCCATATTCTATCTGTTGTAAAGGTCTGCTGATTTTAACTTCTGTCAAAATATTTTGGACATACCCTGTTTTCCAGAGCTAAGGCCTAACAAGCAGGCTGTGCCCTGAGCTTGGCATACTTAGCACTCATGATGATATCACCCTTTGGCAAAATATATTGCTTGGACCAGCATCAGGTGTTCACTGAGGGATTTAGCACCCCCTATTTCCCAGTGCCATCCATCACATGTTCACAATACTATCAGTACTGATAAGGTACTGTACTGTACTCCTGCTCCTGTTACAGGGATCTGGTTCTGTACCTAGAAGGTGGCCACGACCCCCAAGACAATGAATGTTCCCACAGCACCCAAGAAATGCCAACCATCTCTAAGAATGATTGTGTTGTGGGCCAACTCCTTTCATGTATGTAAGTGTCCCCAGTATTAAGCCCTCCTTCCTGGGGGAGGGGACTTCCGTATGCATACCTCATTTTCCTCACTCTGAAATTAAACTTCTGTTTGTGTCCTGACTCTTCTGGCCTGCTGTTTGTTTGGCTCCGGCTACCCACAAGTTAGAGGCTGGTTCTGATCCAGTTGATACTTCAAAACATTTCTCCTATGCAACCCTTTTTCTCCTCTGACACTGCACCCCCCTCTAATGCAGGCACTCCTAATCTCATGCCTGGACTACTCCAACAGCCTGTAGTTGGGTCTACCTGCCTCAAGTCTCACTTCCCCTCCAGTCCACTCTCTACTCTGCTGTCAAAGTGATCTTCATAAAGTGCAGATCTGACCATAAAACCCCCCCATCCCCCAACAAATTACAGTGACTCCCTCTCACCTGAGGATCAAACAATAAAATCTTCTTTCCCTCCTTGACATTCAAAGCCTTTCATAACCCACCCCCCAATCTCACACCTCTGCACTAGGGTACTTGCTGTTCCTCCAACAAGTCACTCAAATCTTTTCTGGCCTAATTCAAATCTCACTTAAAACCCCATATTTTGGAGGATGCCTTTTCCAATCCCCCTTAATTCTAACACCTTCCCCTGGTGATTATTTCCTATTTGTCCTGCCCATAGCTTGTTTGTACAGAGTTGTTTGTGTGACGCCTCCCCCATCAGACTAAGCTCCTCGAGGGCAGGGGCTGGGGTTCCTGTGCCTCTTTTTTGTATCCGTATCGCTCAGCACGAGGCTCTGTGTGACCCTGGACAAGTCACTTAATCCTGTTTGTCTCAGTTTCCTCACCTGTAAAATGAGCTGGAGAAGGAAATGGCAACCACTCCAGTATCTTGACTCAAATGGACTCACTAAGGGTCGGTGACGACTGAAATGACTGTAGTAGGGGCTTCGTGTTCATCGACTGACTCCCCTACGATCTACGCCGGGGGTTAAGTAACTACAGCACCATCTTAGAGGCCGGGAGGTCAAGCACTGGCTCAGGGTCACAAGGCAGGATTGGAACTCAGGTTTTCCTAGGTCCAAAGCACCGTTCAGGACAGACCAACCTCAAAGCATCCTGCCGCCATCCATCCCCGCCCAGCTCGGACGCTGGCCGGCCTGGGCTCAGCCCCCGCGGGGTGGAAGTGAGGGGTGGGAGGCGTGGGGGCGAGAAGAGGGACGCTCTTCTCCCGGCCCCTCCCGGATCCAGTCCCCTTCGGCCGAAGTAATCTCCCCCAAATGCCCTGCCCGCCCCTCCCCCACGGGCGCGAGGGGCACCCCCTCCCCGGCTCCGCACCTGGTGAACGCTACCTGCCCTCAGGTCCGCAGCGCGCGCGCTGCTCGGTGATTGGCCACGATCCGGGCTCCTCGCCAGCCAATCCCGCAAGGGAAGGCGGTCGTGCTGCGTCATCAGACGGCGACGCGGACATGGCCCGCGGAAAGAGGGGCGGCCCGGTCACTGGCCCCGTGACGTCCCAGCACCATGGCGTCGGATGGAGGAGGCAGGGGGTCGGAGCTGAAGAGGAAAAAGCGCCGGGAGTTGGAAGAGGCCGCGGCCGGGGGAGAAGAGCCGCCTCTAGTAGTGGCAGTGGCCCGAGAGAAGGAAGAAGAGGATGAAGAGCGGTGGGTCGGGCCTCTGCCTGTGGAGGCAGTCCAGGCTAAGAAGCGCAAAGGTACCAGCCTCCGGCCGGGGGCAAGAGGGAGGCCCCGGGGTCCTGGCCCGGTGGGGGCAGGGGGCGTTGGGAGGATCTTCCCCTCCGAGGCCCCTCCGGTCTTCGCTAGTAGATTGACAGGGCCGGGTTGCGTGTCTCCCTGGACTGTAGGAAGCTCACTTCAAAACATGGTAAGGTCGTGAACATCAGATGCTCCGAATTCAAGGACAAAAGCGTTTTCAAGCAGATGTCATGCATTATTGGGGAGGGGGGAGGGTTATGCGTAAGAAAGAGCACATGATACCACGCTAGAAGTTGCACCGGTGGAAACAACCTGCAACCTTAAAGGACACCCAGCAAATTAGGTCGCAAATAATATATTTGATACGTTTACTTGGATTTACACAGCAATTTACACAGCAGTAATTTGTGTTATCGCAGCAACGTTGTTAAACGTGTTTGTTCCCCAAGCATCCTTCACCACCTTCTTTACGTACCACTTTTTCGCATCACTCCTCCCTCCTCCCCCAAACCTTCAATGATTCTCTATTGGTCATCTCCCACGTACTGGAGTCTGACGCTCCCACAGACGGTGCTGACACTTGATTAGGCTCAGCCCTTACTCAGTTAAAAGCTTCTGAACTCAAGCAATGCATCAGCCCCAGTTGCAGAGATTACAGGAATGTGCCTCCACACAAATAGCTGTACTTGTTAGGAAGTTTTTCTTTATGTCAAACCTAATACTCTCTCTGTGTAACATCTCATGGATTCTACTGCTCAATGGGGCTAAGCAACTCTAATCCAGCAGGGCAGCTCTATAGAATGCTGAGTCAGGAAGACCCAAGTACAAATCTGGCTTCAGACATTTATTAGCTGTGTGACCTCAGGCAAGCCACTACTCATTTTCCTCAACTGTAAAATGGGGATAATAATAGAATTTATTTTTCAGTGTTGTGAGGATAAGTTAAATCATATTTGTAAAGTTCTTACCACAGTACCTGGCACGTGGTAGGCACAATAGAAATGCTAGTTGTTATTGTTATTATTATTATCAACCTCTCTTCTACAAATACTTAAATAACTGTCATAGTTTTCCAAGACTTATCTTCTCTTTTCTAGGCCAGATGTCCCCAGTACCTTTTGCCCTTTCCTCCTCTTTATATATCCTAGTATGTTGGATAAAAGATTTTGTGGAAAGAGTTGAAATTCTTGACTTAAATTAGTAGTTTAGATCTCTTACAGGTATTATTTCTATATTTCTGATAATGTGGATTATTTGGAGTTGATTATTTCTGGAAATACTGTTGATAAAAGAGCCTAGAGAAAACAAATCTTGACAAATCCAGAGATAATTTTTGGAATAATACTTCAAAATGATACTTTAGAATAATACCATAAAATTTGGAGTAATTTTTGTATGATCAAATCACTTAATTTTTGGATATTTGGGGATAGGGTACTTGGACAATGGAATCATATACCATTTCGTTAGGGGTTGTCTCCCTTAAGTTATTCATATAAATTAACGAAACTGAAATGTCAGCTTACTATGAGTTAAGCTCCTAATTGACTTACTTGTACAAATTTGAGAAGTAATCATAACTTAATTCTCTACCATATGACTACCTGGTGGTGACAGTTGACTGCTGAGATCTGAACAAATGTCTTTCAGAAAAGGGAAGCAAGATTTCATAATACATGCAAGGGCAATGTGAGCTATATTTTATTACCTTTTTTTTTTTAAATCCATGCTTTAACATATGTTTTTATACTTACTCTCATATAGTAAAGTTCAGGAAAGTAGGGCCCTCTCCATTTTATTGTTGGCTAAAATCTTACTCAGTTGCTTTTTAGTAAAACAATGAAGTTCAATTTCATACAGATAGCAATAAACTCAGAATACAAGACCTAATGAGACTTTGAAAAATGCTGGTACTTTATTTTTGTAATGTCATTTCTCAAACCTGTTTTCATAAAGTTAGTTCATAGCTTGGTAGGTGAAATCTTGCATAGGCAATTCAACAAATTCAATTTATCAAAGATTTGTTCAGCACCTACCATGTGGAAGGAATTCCAAGGATAAAAATATTAAAAACATTTAAGAAATCAAAGTTCTTGCCCTCACAGTGCTTTTACTGGGAAGCATGTGACATATAACATATTCTGGAAGCAGTGTAGTACAGTGGAAACCATACTGATATTTGAGTCAGAGGACCTGTATTTGAATCCCAGCTCTGCTATTCTGTGACCTTGGGCAAGTCACCTAAGCTCTAGACCGCCAATCCCTTTTCTGTAAAATTTAAGTACATGGAATAGTCCGTTTGGACTGCAAAGTAGAGTTGTGAAGATAGGCTAGAGCCATATCATAGGGGCCTTTAAATACCAGGCTGAGGAGTTTGTATTTTATCCCTAAGGTAATAGAGAGCCTACTTGAGTGACATGATTAGAAAGATGATTTTGATAGCTGTGTGGAGGATGGATTGGATAGGAGGGAGATTAGAATCAGGGAAACCAGTTAGGAGGTTGATATGGTTGTGCAGGGATTGTGGAAGTGAAGGGGATAGCTCTCAAAGATACTATAGAGGTAAATTCTATGTAGGACTTGGCAGCCAGTTAGAATCAATTCAACAAAAATTGAGTACCTTTTATAAATTGTACTTGAGGCTGCTCTCAAGGATTTTACATTCTTTTTGGGGGAGGATATAACATAGGCATAAGACAGTAATTTCAGAAGGGAGAATGTTATATGTACAGAGCATCAGGAAAGGCCTATCTGTCAGGAAAAGTTCAGAGTGTCCTCTGAGCTGTGCTGTGAAGCTAGGGATTTTCCAGGAAGGGAGTACATTTCAGATATAGGGGATTACTTGTTCAAAAGCATGAAGGTGAGAGAATTTGTATATAGTAGCAGGTCAGACTAAAATGGACAGTGCATGAAAGGGAATAAATTGTTGGGGGTGAGGAGAAAGCATGAGTGAAGATTTCAACCCTCAGATTTCAAGGCTAAGTAGCTAGGATTATGTCAGTGGCCTCAACAGAAATGGGGAAGTTAGAAGGAGGGGTAGGCTTAGGGGGAAGATATATGTTGAATATGAGCTGGCACTCAGATATTCAGGTGAAGATATTCAGGAGGTGATGTAGGCCTGGAGTTTTGGAATAAAATTGTGGCTAGATACATAGGTTTGACATTTAACTGTGTACAAGTGAAATTGATGAGATTATCAAGGGAAAGAGTATAGAGGAAGAAAAGAAAGAGACCTAGTTAGCCAATACACGTTTATTAAGAGCCTATTGTGTGCTATGCGCTGTGCTAAGCAGCTGGGGATAAAAAGAAAAGCATAAGACCTATATTTGAGAAGTTTACAATCTAAATAGAAGGACTATACCAAAGGAAGCTAAGAAGAGGGGGGAGTTTGAAGGGGAGAGGGGTAGGGAGAGGTTATCTGGCACATGGGAATGAGAAATGCAGAGTTTAGCAAAGTACAGGTGGAAAATGAAGAGATGATTGGTAATAGCCACACTAGGGATAAGACTAAGAAATATTCTGATACATAGGAAAACTGGTTCATTTCAAAGGTGGATCCACCAAAATACTGATACTTAAGGGATTTCATACTTTGTCAGAAATATGTCTATAAATCCACGTGTCCTCAGACAAGCTCCTCTGGGGCTCACTCTGAGTAGCTTCAGAGGAAGGAACCAAAGCCAACAGAATAGAAACAAGTTGGCCGTACCTCATTCTAGTTACCAAGTTGACCTATTTGCTTGTGCCATTGTTTTTAAGTCCAAAAGAAAGTTAGTATCTTGACTGTAGGAACTGTTTCATTTTTATAGCTGTATCCCCAGGGCGTAACTCAGTGACTTATATTCAGCGCCTGTTTAATAAACGTTTGATGAATTCTTCAATGAATCAAATGAATTGAATCAACACAGTACCAGTAACAAAGAGAGAAGCAGATATATAGGAAGGCTTTTTCTCTTCTCCTCTCCTTTTCTCTCCCTTTTCGTCTTTTAGACATTATCTGTAACATTCTGAATGGTATTCACAGATAATTCTTCTTTATCTTGCTTGGATAGCACTAGTAATTGGGGCAACATAATTAGAAAGAGGAGAAAATTCTCAGTTTTAACAGATGAGTTTATTCTGTACAACTTTAATGCCAGATTCAGTAAGCTCTTAAACCTTTGGGAAAAGTTTAGAAATGACAATAATCTTTAATGCCACTAGTGTAAAGATAGTAACTACCATTTATATAGTGCTTTAAGATTTGCAAAACTCTTTACAAATATTTCATTTTATCATCACAACAACCCTGAAAGGTAAGTGGTGTTATTGTCCCCATTTACAGATGGAGAAACTGAAGTAGACAGAAGTTAAATGACTTGCCCAGGGTCACACAACTAATAAGTGTCTGAAACTGTTTTTGAACTCAGTTCTTCCTGATTCCAAGTCTTGCACTCTAGGTACTATACCATCTAGCATTTAGTATCATAGTAAAACTTACAAAACAAAACAAACAAAAAAGCATCACTGCAAATTTAAAATTCCACCAAAGACAAACTTTAAATTAAATTTTGACAAAGAAAAACATTTAAGTATTACTTTTGTTTTTTTTTTCCAGTTCTTGAATTTGAACGAGTATACCTTGAAAATCTTCCCAGTGCTTCCATGTATGAACGCAGTTACATGCATAGAGATGTTATTACACATGTCGTATGCACCAAGTAAGAAATTCTCAGACTATTTTTTGCCCATGTAAGAGATTTTTTGGAAATGCTAACTTTTAGTGATAAATAGCATTAGGTTTATTTTTTTGGGTTTTTTTTTTTTTTTACTGCACTTAGAGCAGCTTTGAGAAATAATTGTATAAAAGTCTATAGCCCTATTAATTTATAAATCTAATTAAGGAAAACCTTTTTTTCAAATGTATGTGCTTTTAAGTGTGCTTATAGCTAAAGAATATTCAATCCATCAAGATAACCACAATAATTCACCTCTTACCTACGCTTCGAATAAATTGTTATCTTCTCTAGTAGTAAAAATTTAATGTGCAGTTGCAGTGTATGCTGAAGTTTAGCTAGAACTCTTTCCTCTGGGCTTATTCCTTATTCAGAAGACCATCTTTTAATAGGATCCATTGGCTATTTCAGGAACTAAACTCCCTTATATGGGATCAAAAGTAGACCTATCTTCTACTGAATTTTGCTTTATATGGAATTAGGATTTATTGCCCTCCAAATAAAGTATAAATCTTTTTAGTTTAGTTTAGACCTTTTCAAGGACTTCCACAATCTGAATCCAACTTACCTTACTAGCTTCAAGTTCCAGATAAACTGGGGTACACACTTGTCCTGCCCTCTAATGCCTCTGAGCCTTCTTTTAAGCCTCTCTGCCCACTGTTAAATGCCTTGTCAGCAGATACTGTAGCTTATTTCATGTCTTTATCTCTAAAACCTAAGCTCAGTGACTTTCACATGGGAAGCATTTAAGTATTAGTTGAATGGTATTGAATTTATCGAGGTTCTGATGTCTTACCAACCTTCAGTCTTATATCATGCCCTTTTAGCTCCTATCACATTTGAGAATACAGATTATTAAAATTGTACTCAGATATTAAAGCATTAAGGGGCTCTAGGACTACCTGAAAATTAACACCAAACGTGTTTGGTTTGGTTTTGAAACCTTGCTGCCAGTCCCTGGAGGGGAAACTAACTACTATGAATTCATTAAATATTTGGTATATTTATAGAGCCAGAGGGGTTGGCATTTATACTAAGCTTCTTGATTGGAAGAATGGACTCACTGTATTAATGAAGTGTTGGTCCTTTATACAATTGCTTATCGCAATATGTTTTGGTAATTAACTTTTTATATTTTATATACACAGGACTGATTTTATTATTACTGCTAGTCATGATGGACATGTCAAATTCTGGAAGAAAGTAGAAGAAGGAATTGAATTTGTTAAACATTTTCGTAGTCATCTGGGTAAGCCATTTTCCTTTTATTGACCTATTTTTATCTTTTCTCGTTTCCTTAGATAGCATTATTTTACATTTCTTTCTCTCAAATAATTTTAAATTTTCATTTATTGAATTAGGAATCATTGAGGGTATTGCCGTCAGCTCTGAAGGAGCCTTATTCTGTTCTGTGGGTGATGACAAAGCAATGAAGGTATTTGATGTGGTGAATTTTGACATGATCAACATGCTGAAGCTTGGGTGAGTCTTGTTGAATTGTTTTTCTCTTTCTAAAAAAAGAAATCTATGAAATAACAAGTTTTGTAAATCATATTTTATCAGCTGAACTTTTTTATTCTGTCTGTTCCAGGTATTTTAAAATAATGTGATATAGTGCTATCTTGATAGGAATGTACTTATAATGCTCTTTTAGGAAGTTGCTGTCATGGTCTTCTATAATAAGCTTCTTCTGGTACTTAGAATAAACCCACACTTAGTCGAATATACTGCAAATCCATGTCATACTGGATTCCTTAATATAACAAGATGTATTTAGTTAATTTCATGTATCTATAAAATTTTATTTATTCATCTCAACAAACACTTGCCAAACTAATATGTATTGGGGCTACTCAGATACTCAAACAGATCTGAGATCTAATTGATTTTGGGGGTTCCCTCCAGTGACGCAGATTGCAGCCCATCTTCTGCAACTCCTGTCCATATCCTCCCATAAGTTTGCCACAAAAGGTCTAGAGCTTACCCAACAGACTGGAATCCTTCCTTGTTTTCTTCCAACATTGAAAGGGTACCAGTGGAGCTCTCTAGATATCTTCCTGTAATTCCCAGGTATAATTAGCCTATCTTTACTTCCTGTCATACATTTCCTTTATGACATCTTTTATTTCTCTTCTTTGAAATTCATTAGTTAAATATTGCAATCTGTTCATTCTCACCATGATCCTCTCCATCACCCTCTGTGAAATTAATTTCTAATTCTTAGGAGATAGTTGTATTCCATATCTCACTGTTATAACAAAACATTTTTAGAAGGCTGGTATTTTTTTTTTAAATAGGTCTGTGTTTCCCTGGGAAACTTGGAGTCATTAAGGGTGTCAAGATTGATTCATCTCTTTGGGCAGTATGTCCATTCCTTGATCATTGGTCAAGGATCTTACATTTACTATACTATTAGCTGTCAAAGTTTATTGATGTTCTAAACATTTTGTGATTCTTCGTACCAACTGCCCTTTTTCCTCTGCTCTGCCCCAATCACTGCAGAAATGAAAGGGGGCCTCACAGGGCTGAAGGCTATTTCATATATTTCTTTGTTTTTTGAGTTTCTGTGAACAAAAAATTCATTACTAGGTAGCCACTCTACCAATAATGCAACTTTCTGTACTTAGGTGGGCTGGTCTTCAGAAAGCATACTCAGTGAGTTGCCAAGGTACACGCAGATATTTTCTAGAACTGTAGAGCTTTGGGGGGGCAGCTAGGTGGCGCAGTGAATAGAGCACTGGCCCTGAAGTCAGGAGGACCTGAGTTCAAATCTGGCCACAAACCAGACACTTGACATGTACTAGCTGTGTGACGTTGGGCAAGTCACTTAACCCCGATTGCCTCACAAAAAAAAAAAAATAACTGTAGAACTTTACAGAGCTTATGCTTTGACTTATGCTTTGAGAACCCAAGTTCACTTCTTTGAGGTATTAGAATAAGACTTTGTGGAGAGTGTACTGGACAAAAACAAAACCATTCTTGCCCTCAAGGAGCTTGCACTCTACTAGAGGCATACAACATAATACTTATAAGTAAATTCAAGATAGTTTGATGAGGAAGAGAAGACTAGCAGTAGATTTTAGGGAAAGATAGAGGAAAAAATACCCAAGCTGAATCTTGAAAGGAAATAAGGATTCTGAAAGGTAGAGTTAAGGATGGGAGTTGATTCCAAGCACAAGAGATGACTTTTTCTGCATAGAGATGGGAGATAGAATGTCTAGGTCGGGAAACAGATAGTTTGTCTGGAATGTGGAATGCATGAAGGAGAATAATAGGAAATAAGGCTGCAAAGGTTTGTTGGTAGCAGTCTGTGGAGGCCCTTAAATGCCAAGGTAAGAATTTTGTAATTCTCTAAAGGACTGGGCAGTAAGGACCCAGGGAAAGTATTTGAGTAGGTCAGTGATATGGTCAGATCTGTACCTAAGGAGGACTATTTTAGCAGCTGTACAGAGGATGGGTTGAAGAGAAGAGAGACTGGAAGTGAGGGGACCAGTTCGGAAGGTATTATAAAAGTCTAAGCAGATGTTGCCATGGACCTAAATTAGGATTATGACCATGTGAGTGGAAAGAAAGTGGTAGAAGTAAAAGTTGTAGTTGAGTTGACAGGGCTTGGCAAATGATTGGATGTGGGGTGAAGAGGGAAGACTGTGGATTGACTCTGCTGTTAGCAACCCGGGTACCTAGGAATAGAGTGATAACATAAAAAGGAAATGGAAATTTGAAGAAGGGACCAGTTTGTGAAGAGATTATGAGTTTAGTTTTGAACATGTTGAGTTTGAGGGACACGCACATGCACACACGCACACATCAGGGGGATATGTCCATCAGGCAGTAGGGGAGGTGGGACTTGAATTTGGGATAAAGCTTTGGGGGAGGGAAGGTGGCCATACAATTTTAGAGGTTATGTGACTAAAGATAATACTAGAAACCCTGTGAATAGATGAGATCACCAAAGGGGGCTAATGTAGGGAAAAAAGAAAAGGGACCGCTTAAGAGCCTTTGGAGACACTCATATTTTGAGCGGGAGGCAAGATGGAAGATGTACCAGCAAGGGAAGCAAAAGGAACAATCGCATAATATAGATAGTTCTTTCTAACAGTTTGTTAATGAAAAGGAGAAAAAATATAGAATGTTAAGTTGGGAGGAGTGGCATGGTCGTGGATAAAATATTAGAGACTGTTACTTGGGGAAGAACTGATAGGAATACTGTAAAGTAGTTAGGGAGAAACATTTTATGCCACATAGAATAATAAGCTTAAAATGTATGTCTCATGCAAATATGAAATATCATTCTATAAAAAATACTAAAGATAATGAGATCAGATACCTTTAATAGCTGCGGCTAGGGAAAGCATTCTTAAACAAACTTAAGATCGGAGTGATAACAAAAGATAAAATAGGTCATTATGATTACATTCAATTAAAAGGCTTTTATATGAACAAAATCAGTGGCGCTAAAAAGAGAAATTATCAAAATGGGGGGAGGGCTCTACATTAAATATCTCTGATAAGGCCTAATATCTATGATATATAGGAAATTAACATAAATATATAAGACCAGTGGAGAAGTAGTGAAAGGATATGATCAAACAGTTCTTAAAAGAACAACCATAAGCAAAATTGCTCCAAACTACTAATAATAAAAACTGAGTTTGCACTTCAGACTTAGCAAATTGGCAAAGATGACCACAAATGGGAAGGTTGTAGGGATTGTGGAGAGATAGAGGCACTAACATACCTTTGGTGGAATTGTGAATTAACCCAAACTGTTTGAAATTATGCAAATAAAGTGACTAAAAAGTCTATATCCAATGATTCCACTACCAGGCATATACACCAGTGAGATTGATGATAAAGGCCCCACATGTAACAAAATATTTATAGCAGCACATCTTGTAGTAGTAAAAAACTGGAAACAAAGTAGAAACCCATCATTTAAACAGTTAAACAAGTTGGAGTTCATACTTGTAATGTAGTGCTATATTGTGCTATAAAAATGATGAATATAGGGGCAGCTAAGTGGCACAGTCGAGAGAGCACCTGCCCTGGAGTCAGGAGGACGTGAGTTCAAATTCGGCCACAGACATACAACACTTACTAGCTGAGTGACTCTGGGCAAGTCACTTAACCCCAAATGCCTCACCAAAAAATGATGAATACAGAGAATCATGAGAAGACTTGTATGAACTGAAGGAAGAAGAACCAGTAAAACAATATATATAATAATTACAACAATAACCTTATAAATGGAAAAAAAACATTCAGTTCATTTTGTTCATTAGGATGTTTTTGTTTTTATTTCATTTTCTGTACCTTTTTCTGAAAATGATTTCTTTCTCTCATTCACTTCATTATTTATTTGCCTTCCCTTTCTATCTATTCTAGATCTTTATTCTTTGATTCATGGCTCTTATACTTATTTAGTCTTTTTTTAGCCTCTGTATTCCTTGTGTGATTAAACCTCCAGTTTTTTTTTAACTTTGGATTCCCTCATCTAAACAGTTTCTGTGTTATTGCCTTATAGATCTTGCCTCTTGGTCCCCTTTTTCTGTTCCACTTCATTCTTAGAAAAATGCCAATTCCTGCACTTGATAAAAAGGATGTCCCATATCCCATGGTAGAAATTTTCCTTTATCTCTAATTGTGCAGTTAACCTTTGTCCAACCTGTGGTTGTTTTTTTACCCACTTGCTTTCAAATCTCCTCCCTGATTCCATACCCTTCCACTCTTCTGGGTACCATTTGGCCCCAGGAGCTCTGATTCCACTTCATCTGAGGCAGGATGAGTGGTCTCTCTGGCATGTATCTTTGCAGACTACATACATTGTAAGGCCCCCATCTCACTTTATCTGATATCCATCTTCCTCCCTGGAAATACTCACCAATGGTACCATCTTTTATCACCAAAATAAGATTTTCTCCTTACTTTCCCCTCTTTCAATCTTATCCTTTGCCTCCTTGTCTGTTCTCCTGTAGGCTCTCTTCTTCCTGAGAGACTACAGATGTTATTTTCCTTTCATTGTTAACCTTGATTAGAGTATATCACATATTCCTCCCCATTCCCCTTTTATGTGCCCTCCTGTTACATAATTTAGCCCCACAAAAACATTCATTCACCTGTAGATGGGATATTCTGAGATTTAGTTCATGATGTTACAGCCTGTTTCTCTACTATCGTTTCTATTTTGCTTCTACATTTACCTTTGTTGTCTTGTGTATTTTTAAAGGGAAATCTCCTAATGATCTCTTTTGCTAATTTGTTGCTGACCTTATTAGTTGCTGTGTTTGTTTATCTTGTTTTTATTCTCTAGGGTATTTGAGAAGCAAATAATTTGCTCAAGTCTGGTTTTATTTGGGGGAATTTTTTGATCCCTCTTTTTTTTTTTAAATTTTACTTATTTGTTTATTTGTTTGTTTGTTTTAGGCAATGGGGGTTAAGTGACTTGCCCAGGGTCACACAGCTAGTAAGTGTCAAGTGTTTGG